AGTAGCAACGAAGCGGGTGTTCTACAACTACTGAGTCTGTGCTCTAGAGCCTGGGGACCGCGACGATTGAGCCCAGTGTGCAACTACTAAAGGCTGCAAACTCGAGAGCCTGTGCTCCACGACGAGAGAAGCCACCTTAATGAGGAGCCCACGCTCGCCACGAACACTAGCCCCCGCTCGCTGCACCTGGAAAAAAGCCCACTCAGCAACAAAGACCCAGCACGGCCAAAGATAAATGTATAATTCAAAAAAAGCATATCAGGACACAGGCCACACAGAGCCCAAGGAGCAGGCACGTGAGGACGCAGAGAGGAGGCGTCCACCTACCTGCCCAAAGGAGAGGCCTCAGAGGAGCCAGGCCTGCCCCCACCTTATCTCAGGCTTTCCGCCTCCAGAGCCGTGAGCCAAGCCCTGGCGTCTAAGCCGCCCAGTCCATGGTGTTTCGTTACGGCAGCCCTAGCGAACGATGCAGCTAACACGAACGAGGACGGACTCGAAGATGACCCCCCAGGTGACGTCTGCCCCAGGTAAGGACGCTGGTGGCAAAGATGAGTGGCTGAGCTCTCGGCAGGTGGAGATCCAGGGGCCGGTGGATTGTGCGGGAGGATGTCCAGCTGGTAGCTGGGAGTGTGAGTCTGCAGGTCAGGAGAGAGCGCCGAGCCAGGGTCAGCGATGGGGCGTCATTTATCTTATTCAGATGTGTGGCAGGGTCTGGGCTATGGCTGAGAGCCGCCTGAGAGGGACAGTGCCTGCTGGAAGGAGTGTGGTTTGTTGGTTGGACTGTCTGGGTTTGAGCTCTGCCTCTGAGTTGCTGTAAAGCTCTGCACAAGTTAGTAGCCCACTCTGAAGCTCAAGTGACCCGCTGCGAGCAGAGGGCATCTTGGAGCCTCACTATGCTGCGGTGAGCCTTCAAATGATGTAGTATGTTAAGTCTGAGAATGCTCTTGAATAGGAGCTCACACGAAGTGGCAGCTATTCCGTAGTAAGAACTAGGATGAGGAAACCTCACTGATGCTGAAGGGGGGTGCTGTGAGGAAGACTGAGAAGTAAAATTCTGAGAGGCAAGAGGAGAAAGACGCAAGAGTGTGAAAAAGGAAGTCAAGACAGGAGAAAGTTTCAGGAAAACAGCTGGGTCAGCCCTGGCACGTGTCACGGAGAGGGCAGTAAAACAAGCATGGAGCATCGGGCAGAGACGCACTCCAGTCCCTTATTCCATGGTTTTCCTTTCCAAGCTGTGCACTATCTTTTCTTTTTTTTTTTTAAGAGCTCCATAGCTCTCCTTTCTTATCTGGGAACTGGACTGACACTGTTATTATTTATATGTGTTGATGTTCTAATAAACCCAACATAGGCCAATTGAATTAGACAGATGTGTGATAGTCAAATATTCTACAAGCTATTCAAGGTTTACTAAGGATATTAGGAAACATATTCTCTTTTGATGTATTTTTGTCCCTCATTCATAATTAATTTTAATCTCTTTCACTGGAATGTCAAGCCTACAGCAGGCCCACTATTTCCTTTTATGAAAAGCATACCTCAAAAAAGAGAAAGCAAAACCCAATTTGGGAAAGTTTTATCTACTTCTTGTAAACAAAGTTTTAATGGGATGGGGATACTTTTATGAGGAAACACTGCTTTACAAGACTAAAAGGAACTTTGGAAGGCTATCTACCAAATTTCATCTATTCTAAAGGCATTTTTTAAAAACATGTAAACATCTCTGAAGTGAACTGTCTTACAATGAATGATGTATCATCTAATTGATATTTTCCTTTCCTTTTTTAAAGTTTTTTTTTTTTAAGCAGTTTAAATTTATTTACTTACTGATTGCTCCACTTGGCATGTGTGATCTTAGTTCCCTGACCAGGGATTGAGCCCATGACCCCTCCAGTGGAAGCATGGAGTCTTAACCACTGGACCACCAGGGAAGTCCAGTGTTTTCCTTTCTTTGTGGTTCATAAGGCATCACATTCGACAGTGTCTTAGATATGATCAAACATGACAATGATTTGCCTGAGGACAAGGCAAGCAATTCTAGAAACACAACCATTTATTGGTTTTGTAAGAACCTCTAGACAATAGCAATAATACGGCCATGTGGCAGACACACACCCCTGGCATTTTCCATTGCTTAGCATTAAGATCAGCATCTTGCTACTCACACCAAGAAACAAGACAGCTGATGGCTTAAAACCAGGTAGAATTCCTCTCTGGGTCCATTCCTGCCCCTGTCACCTTCTCACTCTAAATACACACACATACACACAACAGTGCCACCTCCTGCTCCCCAACAACGTTGCAGAGGCCTTTTACTAGCCTCAGGATGGGTAACCTATCCATCACTGGCAAGAGAAAAGTGGGAGATACCCCTCTTTTACTTATTCTCTGTTAAACCCTCATTTTGATTTTGTTGCTAATGAAGATCTACCGACAGCTGAAGCTATTAGAAACTCTCCTGATTATACCGGTGCCCCATCACCAGACAGCTCCCATCACCTCCTGTCTACACCGTGAGCCCAAAGGCAATTTCTGTTGCTCCTCAGGAAAGACTTGGGAGCTGAGGACTAATGCCTGGAGGTAGGTCCTTGAATCCTTTTAGGCAGAATCTAGCCAGCAAAACACATGTCTTTGATATTTATAACTGGTCAAAATAATGCTGGAGTTACTGTTCCATCTGTTATGGAAAATTAAACCTCTGAGCTGTCCTGTAATAGAAAGAAGCTGCAGGGCTTTGCTGTCACCACCCTTTGTTTAACTCAGGCAACGTTTGAAAGCACATTGGTCTACAAGAAAATAAAGCTTACTTGTGAGCTGGCTTATAAACGAACTCAGATGACAAGAAACCCAAACAGCAGTCCCCACTGAAGCTTTTATCCCCAGCCCTGAAGGCCAGCTGGGTCCCTCTGTGACATCAAAGGCAGGAGCGACTGATCCAGCGTTCAGACGGCCCTCCCAGTGTCCCGGGTGCTGTCAGGGACCCAGAAGCCAGGGGAACCTACCCGGTATGTGGGTTTTCTTCACCCGAAAGTTGAGTTTGCCTGAGAGCTTATAAATCGCAGTTCCCATCTCCGAGCCCTGGCTCCGTGTGCAGCAGAGAGAGACAGCTGAGGGTGACAGGCTGAGTGGGCCAGCTCCTGCTGACCTCTGTGACTCAGAGCCCACCAGGCGGCCGGGCCTCCTTCCACTCCCTGGCTTCGCGTGTTTTTCCAACTGGCCACCGGCGTGCTCAGCGGCCCTGTTCATCAGAGCTGTCAGACGCTCACAGCCAGGTCTATAAATCAGGCCAGAAGAGGGCAAGGGCTTCCCAGTCCACAGTCTGAACTGGAGATGCCTGCGTCGTGGTTAGGAAGGCCTCTGGATACAGATGATCGAGGTGAGCTGTGTGGCTTTTGGCAACTTGTTTACCCTCTCTGTGCCTCCATTACGTCTTCTGTAAGATAGTCCCCGCTGCACTGACTTTTCATAAGGACTTAAAGGACTTCCAGCGTGGTCCAGCAGTTAAGATGCCCCCCTTAAAATATAAGGGACATGGGTTCAATCCCTGGTTGGGGAACTAAGATCCCACATGCAGAGTGGTGTGGCAAAAAAAGAAAAAACTGCTTAGAATGATGCCCAGCATCATAGTCAGTCTCTCCAGACAGTTATCCACTGATACTATAATTGCTGTTGAAGGATGCCCTGTGCTTTTCCTATTAAGAAAAAATGCATTTATGAGCACGGCTGTTAATTGATGGGGTAATAGGTTTTAACGACTTCCAAGGATACTAGGAAAGTGTCATACACTAAGTCAGGTCACGAGTCCCACTGTTTGGGGAAAAGGAACCCCTTACAACAGCAGTCAAGAATTAGGAGAAGTGAGGCTGCCTTCTTCGGGCAGGTCCATCAGTGGGACTGTTTTATCTTTGCTCTGAAAACCTGAAGTTCCTGAGAGCACGAGCTGCTGTTTGGTGTCGCTCCCGCCTCCTGTGAGAACTGTAAGCTTCTCTCCCGAGTGGCTGTGCTTTTCTGTCCCTGATCACCCCCTGTTGTCAACTTTGAGGCACTTTTATCCCTTGGTTAAACTCTCAGGTGAGTCCTGTGAGGGTGGTGGTAGGCTTGCTTCACTTTTCTGGTGCAGAAAAGTTGGAGTTGATTTCACCAAAGCCGGATCTCATAGAGGGAAGTGGCCAGGATTTGGTCAAAACCCTCAGCAGCCCCAAAATAGCCTTTCTTATTTCTCAGCTGGCTCTGTCATTTACCAGTGTGTGATCTGGGTTCTCAGTTTTCGCATCTGTAAAACGAAGGGGCGCGTCTAGGTGACCTGTGAGGTCTCTGTAGTTCTGACTTCCTCTGAGTTGGGGTTTGCACAAATAGAGGGAGGGGTGCCGTGGAATCCTCATAAAGCTAAAGGCTAATATGGGTCATCTTCCTGAAGCATCAACATTACTTTTTACATGAAAATAAACCTGGGAGTGTGATGGACTGCAGTTCAAAATTTCCAAGTTTTTTTCAAGGAAAAAATGAGATTTTAAATATGTTCACTTTTTCAGTGGAAAAAGTAGTGGTGATGGTTGAACATTGTGAATTAATGCCACCCAATTGTATATGTAAAAATGGTTAAAATAGCAACATTTCTGTTATATATATTTTTACCACATTAAAAAAAAACCCAATAGTATTCGGGTAGAGAGTCCAGAAATAAACCCACATGTACTTGGTCAACTGATTTTCAATGAAGAACAAAATTCAGTGGAGAAAGGATAATCTTTTTAACAAATGGTGCTGGGGCAATTGGACATGCATATGTTTTTTGCATATTTTAAAATAAACTTCATACCTCTCATGATGTATAAGAATTTATTCAAAATGTATCACAGATCTAAATGTAAGGCCCAAAACGATACAATTTCTAGAAGAACACATAGGGGGAAATCTTTATGACTTTGGGTTAAGCAACAGTTTCTTAGATAAGATACCAAAAGCATAATTAATAAAAGAAAAATTGCAAATCAGATTTTATCAAAATTAAGAACCTCTTCTCTTCAAAAGACTCTTCTCTTGAAAACACAAACCACAGACAGAGTCAGTATTTGCAAATCTGATACAGAAAAATATAATGAATCTCAAAACTTAACATCCAGAAAGTAAACAGTCAATATAAAAAATGGACCAGGACTTCCTTGGTGGTCCAGTGGTTAAGAATCTGCCTGCAAGTGCAGGGGACATGGGTTCAGTCCCTGATCCGGGAGGATTCCATATGTCAAAAGGCAGCCAAGCCTGCGTGCCACATCTCCCGAGCCTGTGCCCTAAGCCCATGGGCTGCAACAAGAGAAGCCAGTGAATTGAGAAGCCCACGCACCCACAGCTGGGGCACAGCCCCACGCGCCAGAGCCAGAGAAAGCCCATGCTCAGCAATGAAGATCCAGCGCAGTCAAAAGTAAACACACAATGAAAAATAGATTTTAAAAAGGGGCCAAAGATTTGAACAGACTTCATCAAAAAAACAGAAGATACACAGATGGCAAATAAGTACAAGAAAAGATGCCAGATATTATTAGTCACTAGAGAAATGCGAGTGAAAAGCACAATGCGATACTGCTAGGCACCTATTAGAATGGCTAAAATGAAACAGTGGCCACAGCACGTGTTGGGGAGGACCTACTGCAACTCTTTCTCACATGCTGCTGATGCAGATGTAAAGTCGGTAGGACTACTTTGGAAGAATACTTGGAGAGTGTCTTAAAAAATTTAATATACAGCTACCATATGACTCATCCATACCACTCCTATGTATTTACCCAAGAGAAAGGGAAGGCTTTGTTCATACAAAACCTTGTCCAAAAATATCACAGCGGCTTTATTTTTTAATAGTCCTAAACTTAGAAAGAACTCAAATGTCCATGAGCAAATAAACAGATAAACACATTGTGGCACATTGAAATACTATTCAGTGATTTTAAAAAGAAACTGTTTTGATATACACAACAATGTAAATGAATTTCAAAATAATAATACTGAGTGAAAGAAACCAGCCCCCCCCCAAAAAAAAGAGTACATGGTGTAAGAATCCATTTACAGAATATTCCAGAAGGTGAAAACTAATGTACGGCAACAGAAAGTGGATGAGGGGTTGTGTGGTGGGGGCAAGAGGGGTGAAAGGATGATACAGGGGCATGAGGGCGTTTGGGGGAGCGATGGATGTGCTCATTATCCTGCCTGTGGTGAGTCCCAAGTTATGGGTTTAGCTCTTAGATGGGAGTAGCTTGGTAGAAAAGGGTATAGGGTCCCAGGGAGCAGGGCATGTCCATAGCACTTGAATGGAAATGTCTCACCCAGCTTGATTGCCATAAGATATGAAAATTGAGCCCCTCGAGATTTATCTCTTCTCTTCACTTGTCATAGCAATAATTTGAGTGAACAATCTGTTGGTTAGGCTTCCCTATATTTTTGCAGAGAAATGATACTGCCTCTAAGTGCAAGGATACATTAGATTCAGGCGTGGCTGGATCCAGTGATCAAACGAGATCCCTGGCCCTTGCTGTTTCTCCATCTCTTCGTTCTTCTGTCTGTGATGGCTCCATCTTCAAGAAGGTCTTCTCTCAGGGTGGCAAGATGACTGTCAGCAACTCCTGGCATGCATCTAGCAGACAGAGTGCTTCTGGATTTCTTAAGTTTCATCAAAAGATCCAGGACTGACTCTGGTTGGATGGACTCACATGTCTATGTCTAGGTGTTAAAAAATGCTGACTGGCCAGGCTTGGGTCATGTGTTCACCCTTGGCTCAACTCCAAGTAGGAAATGAATGGTTTCTCAAAGAAAACCAGAGACCCACCGCACCTTCAACATGAACCCCTGCAAAGAACTACCAATTAGCTTAACATGGTGCTTGATTGCACTCCCTGAATGCTTGACTGTGGGGGAGTAGCTGCATTCTGTATTAAAGATCCATGGAATTATGAACTCACTTGATCGGGAAAGACACTAAAGTTCTAACCATTCGGTGTAGCAGATTTTCTATACCTTATTCCTTTCAAGCTCTGACTTCAAAGCTAATTGTATTTCTTTGCATATGATCATTCAGTCTAGGAAAACACACAAGAGACTTCCCTGGTGATCCAGTGATGAAGAATCTGCCTTCCAGTGCTGGAGACGTGGGTTTAATCCCTGGTCGGGGAACTAAGATCCCACATGCCATGGGGCAACTAAGCCACAACTAGAGAAGCCCGTATGTGCCACAAAGACCCAGCACAGCCAAAAAAAAGGAAAAAAGAAAATCACCCCACCCCTGCTGTATTAAGCATTTTCTCTAGATGGTGCTTAAAATTTCCAACAATCCTACGAGAATGTTACAGACTGAGGTCCAGAAGGTTGAGTAACTTAGGTGAGGTCAAGCTTGTGAGGGGGAGGAGAGCCTGCCCTGGGCTGCCCCCTGCAGTTGCAGGCCTGTCTGCCCCGTTACCAGGAGCCCCAGCGCACAGGTCAGTCCCAGAAGCTTGGCCTCTCAGCCTCATCTGTCCTGTGTGTTGTTCTCCAACACCTGCTAAGAGGCTATTAGGGATAAAATGAGATGAACCTGCACTTTCAATGTCCTCCTCAAGGCGAAAGAGAGCTTTCCTTTGTAGCCAATTTAAGGTATAAGGGTATTTTCCGTTTACTGACATCAGGCTCAGGCAGGAATGCTCTATTTTCAGTACATTTCAATGTGGCTTTTAAGAACACTGCAGAAGCACCAGGTTGATGTGGAGGAAGGAGCATTGCCCTAGTTAGAAGGAGACCTGAATTCCTCTAGCTCTGCCTTTGCCCACCACTCCCTGTATGACTTCTGAAAATCCACTTAACCTGAGTCTCAGTTTCCTGAACTGTTGGATTTGATCAGGGTTTCCTGCTGCATGGTAGGTAGACTTAATATGGTGATACCTGAGATGAACACTTTACATTTTCCTAAATCATGTACACATTTTAATGTGTAAAAATGTTAGTGCACCAAGCCAATTATTTTCCAGGTATTTCTGCTTAGGATGATACTAAGTAAAATGGGTAAATTATTTAGTAATATATATATATATATGTATTAAGTAAATTCTAGTAGAGGTTTATGCAAATATGACAAAAAATTGCAACAAAGGCCTATGAATGATGGAAGTTTAGGAATTCCTGGATTGGGAAATGGAGCTACAGTTTACCAAGCCAGGAACCTGGCACTTTGTAAGCATTAACTTAATTCTTACAATCCTAAGCAATAAGTACTGTTATTATCATCTTTATATTATCAAAGAAGATGCTGTGGCGGAGAGAGGGGAAGTTGCTTTCTTACCAACATGTGGCCGAGCCAGGGTCTGACCTCAAACCATGTTCTTGGTCCTGGTGCTCTGATGGTGACTGTGGATGGCGGTGCAGCGTGGAGGATTTACTGGGACCCGAAGGCAGGGGTGTGTGATTCAGCAGGCCTGGGATGAAGGCAGCATGGGCATCACCTGGGGAGCTTGTTAAAGCTGCAGCTTGTTAAAGCTGCAGCCCCTCCCCCAGGAATACGGGTCCTTCGGCTGGAGGGCCAGGGAGGCGAGGTTTTAACAATCACCCCAGGACATTCTGAAGTAGGAGGACCTGTGGTCTCACACAGAGAAGTGGCTGTAGTCCTCAGAATGATTAGAATAGTGAGTAGCTGTGGGGAGATGAGCTCTCTACTGACTTCTCTCCCTCCCTTGTTCACCTGGCCTGTCATACTTGCGGCTGTTTGCAGCCTGTGGGCCAGAAGTAATGAGCTGACATCATGTCTCTTTCAACTGTTCCTTTTACACATCACAGTGGCAGCAAGGAATCAATTGATCTGTATTCTCAAGTCGGTTCTGACAGCAGATCTCTATGTTCCTGATCACCCAACCAGAAGAAAAGAAACTCCAGAACAGGTAACAGTAGAAAAGTAAGCTTTGAAAAAATTCAGTGCAGATTCAAGTAAATTCTAGGTCTGCAGAATCTCATCCACACTCACTGATGCCCCCTGCCAGCCTGTTTCCCCCTTCCACAGTCGAAGCTCATTATGATTGCATGTAGGCTGAGTATACGGGGCTGTAAAAGGCTGAAAAATAGCGGAAGAATGTGTAGGTCTCTTCCAAAGAGATGATGAGGACAAGAGACGCCTGTGCCCCAGGATGGCTTTGCTAGTCAGGTGTGCCAAAAAGTGAGAGAGAAAAAAGGAGGAGAAAGCGGAGAGGATGCTTTCAGAGCTTCTGAAAAGGAGGACGTGGACTTTTGGTTAGTCCCTCTCAGATGAACAGTTCAGAAAAGAGGTAAGAAATGACCACAAACAACGACAAAGTACAAGATGGTAACAAGCACCGTAAAAGAAGTTCAAATCTCTTGAAACAGGTGTAAAGTTTGATGAGCAGGTGAACAAAGAGGGTTTTGAAACTCTAAGATCTGATGCTCAACAACTGGATGAACAGGATGAAGCTGGAACCTGCGATCTTCAGGTTGCCGGAATCCCCCCATTTCCCATTTTTCTTGCACCTGACACCTTTCCTTTTGGTTAATGAAAGTCATTCAGTTGTGTCCTACTCTTTGCAACCCCATGGACTGTAGCCCGCCAGGTTCCTCTGTCCATGGAATTCTCCAGGCAAGAATATTGGAGTGGGTAATCATTCCCTTCTCTAGGGTATCTTCCCAACTCGGACTGAACCCAGGTCTCCTGCATTGCAGGTGGATTCCCACAAGGGAAGCCTCTGCTTTTGGTTAAGTCACACCTGGAGTTCTGTGGGCATCTGAGTTTGTGTATCAGCACGATGTGGGTGCCGATGTAGTTACTGCAGAGGATGCGATGCAGGAAGGATGTGGAGACGGGGCTGGCCGTGTGGGCTGGATTGAGCTGGGCCTTGGATGGCATACAAAGGGGTCAGTACCTTAAAAGTCAGCGGATCGCAAATAGAGCATTGGTGCCCTCTTTAGACCCTGCACCTTGACACCATGGAGCATCATGAGAGGTGTTCTGGGCGTGAGTGGTGCAGGAGAATCAGAAAAAAAAACAAAACAAAACTGTAAGCAACAGGGAGCTACAATGCAGTGTGTGACTCAGGAGGGACAGTGACGGGAGCACACACATGCTTTAGAAACCTCATTCTGGGGGAAGCTGGGGGCATGATGGAAGGAAGGAAAGGAAGAAGGAAGAATGATTGAAGCCAGAAGAACAGCTAGCAAGTGACAAGAGTAATCCGATGGGACTCGGGACCTCCCTCCCACCACTGCTTTCCAGCCCCTCCCTGGTCAACTGACCCACTCAGGAACTGGGTTGTGGGCAGATCAGCCCGAGGTGAAGGCCACTTTGTTAAAAACATTTGTGCTTGTTGCAGTTTGCTTTTTCCATCCCCAAATTCAGAGACTTTGGTCTTATGCTGTAAGTGACTCTGGATCATATACAAATTTGGGAGCTGGTCTTTAGAGAGGGCTCCTGCTGAAGCCTGCAGACCTGGGGGGCAAAGAGGGGTTTTCTGGGCCCACAGAGGACATTTTTATCTACACAGTAGCGTCCAAACAAGAAAGCCCATGTGGTTTTAAGCAAATGAACAGAGAAGTGATCTCAGAGAAAAAAACGTGGGCATCTTTCTTTCCCCTGGAATCAATCAATGCTCAGCTCTCATCCCTTCACACCACGTCCCTGTGCCTGACACCTTGGGTTTGGAAAATGTAGCTGCTCTAGAAGCAACACTATTCTGGATTCCCAGAGGGGTTCAGCAACCCAAAGCAGTGGGAGGGCATAGAGTCTAGGAAATCATTGCTCTTCTTTCTTCCCCAGGGAATCAAGAGTTTCAGGATTAGTTCTGTAAATGTTTTGTTTTGTTACATCTTAAACCCCTCCTGGGACAGAGAAACTGTGGAATCCCCAGCTTCATTAGCTGAAACCAAGTAGGTGGATGACTATAGAAATCACAGCCAAATAGTTTGGGGGGTGTGAGAGGGGGAGACTTCTAGCCCCTTACTTTCTTGGTTTGGCACTCCTGGTACACTCCTGGTCATTATCATGAATGAGTTCTCAATTCTCTTGGCAAATCATCCAAATCATTTGATGATGACCAGTCCTAAAATTGCTGTTGACAAAAGACTTGATTAGATGCTGTGTGTATGTATGCATAACATGTTTGTGTTCTTTTGTGTGCCTTCTGGGCCAGGTGAGAGGGTGGGATGAAGAGTTAAACCATCTTAACCACACATTTCATCAATAGCACTGAGCATGTCCTACCATGGGTCTATCACCGTGCTGGGGTTTTGGTGACTGAAAGAAGCTAAGGGCGGGTCCTTGCCAATTTCTCCCTATGTCCTCCAGCAGGAGCTGAGATGAAGATAATGGGCTTGACATCTGGGAAACAGAAGTTTTGTTGCGATTTCTATTATTACTTTATATGCTCTCAAAAAAAGAAAGTTTTGAGCCTAGAGAAGGTTCATTCTGTAACACAGGCTTTTTGGTATTTTCAAAGGTGTTCTACTTTGAACCTTGCAGATCTGTCTAGAAAACCATGTCACAGGAAACACTGCATTTCCAAAAGTACTTGCTTTCATGCTTCCTGGTGTTCCAAAAAGGTCTGCTGTTTCTAAAGCACTTACAAGTATGGAATTAAAAATTTGAAGCTTCAAAAGTTGAACTTCTCGTAGTTTCAGACTCCCCCTCTCTTCTAGAGATGAGATCAATGCAGCAAGAAGGGCTATGTTCTCGCTATTTGGGGGAACAGATCCAGGAGCGCACAGAAGGGGGGTGAAGAGCTCAAACTCAGGCAAAACAAAGATGAAACCAAAATTCACTTCCCCTGACTATGCCACTTTTCAGCTGCGTGTCTTGGGCAAATTATTAAGCTTCTTTAAGAAATCCTACTTGTTTAATTTTGCATTTGTTCTTGGGCTCACAGACATTTAAGGTCCGTCTGTTCTAAGACTTTAATGTACCCAGAGGCTACATCAACACCCCCAATTTCAATCACTCATTTTGGTTTTTATTTTCAGTGTCCTCTTTTCATTAATGACCTCAATACTTCTTAGCTAGCAGGAATAGTAACAGGAATCCAGAGGAGTGAAACACCACATTCATATTTAACCCATTATCTAGGCTCCCATTTGAGAACCTACACTTTTTTTTCTCCCTTGCTTTCAAGGATCAAAAATTAGCTTTCTTGAATGCACTGTTAGGACTAGAAATAGAAGCTGACATCTATTCAGAACTTGTGTGGCAGGTTTTGATCTACATGTGCAATTTCCATCAACATGCTTAATAATTATTAATGATATAATAATTTCTAATTTAGATTAACTTCCTTGCAGTATAATTCACATAAACTGCACAGACTTTTGGTTGGATAAGTTTTGATGCACACCCCTCAAGTAGCCATCACCCCAATGAAGGTATCACACATTTCCATCAACTCTCACGTTCAGTCAGATTTACACATTCACATTCTCTGATGTTTACAAACCATAGCACTGTGAACTGGTAAAAGGCACAGTGGACAAACAGATGATTTAGGATAAAGTTCTGGTTCTTCCCATGAAACGGTATTGGAAGTTAAGATATTTAACTTTTGGGAGGCAGTTCACTCACCTTTAAAATGAAGGGATTGGAGAAGATGATGCTTCTAAGTTGCGTTGGGGCTCTAACATCCCCGGTTATACTATTCCATATCTGAGGGCATGCGTGCGCGCGCGTGCACACACACACACACACACACACACACACACACCCATCCCCTGAGAGTTTTAAACTATTAAGCTAGATTATACATATTTTGATAGTGAAAAAGAATGGGAGTATCAGTTTAAGGAAAAAGAGGTGACTGAAATGTACTAGGCCCTATATTTTGTAAAGTTCTTAATCAGATACCCACAGTCATTTCTGCATCAGTTAAGAGAAGATGTGGTGGTGGCTCTTCTATCATGTCATCAGATTATGCTGGATCACCTACCAGACAAAGGGTAGATGTCAAGCTCTCATGTAACACGCAGGGCCACACGGGTGTCAAAAGGCTCCAGGTCTTCAGTCAGCTGCACGATGAGGCACCGTGAAGGAAGAGCATCCGCTCGCCTCGCCCCCGGGGCGCGTCCAGACGTCCTCCCGGGCGCAGAGCAGGAAGACGAGAGCTGGGCTCTGCAGAGGTGTCAGGTACCCCTTCCCTCAATCCCCGTCCTAGGACCCTCATATTCCAGCCGGGCAGGACTACGGAAATGCAGCGGTACACTTACGGTGCTTTAAAATCTTACCTTAATGCTTGACTAAAACATGCTATGTAAACTGACCCAAAGAAATAAAATGGTCCACTGACTTTTAAAATTTTCTATGAGAAGCGGAATGCATTTGATTATTCTTTTTTCGCTTATTCTAATGTATTCTAATTCCACAAGCAAATTGAGATTCATTGATAATAAGAGCTACTTTTTCCTTTTTTTTTAAAAAAGCTGAACATTCTCCCTCTCTCTTTCGAAAACTTCTCCGAACCCAAATGCCTATAGAGCATAAACTGGATTATAAGATGTTCATGGCTTTAAAAAAAAAATGGTTTTTAATATCTCACCTTCAAATTGCTTTCTCTTAATTTTCCCTCAGAAAACCATGTTAAATAACTTTTTAAAGGTTTTAAGAGCTTTATTTTTTCTCCCTACTTGAGAGAGGCTCCATTTTAGTAGCAGAAAATAAATGTATTTCAAATGAAGCGTTAGCCTCAGATAACTTACCTCGCCCCTGGCTCCAGAGCAACTTGGATTTCCGATTCTTCGAGCAGGTTAGTGACTTGGGGAACCAGTAGAAGAGCCAGGCTATTCTTCTGACTGTCTTGTTAAAGTCACTTTTGATGGCCATAGCCAGTACTGCTGGGTGCTTCAGAACAGCCCTCCACAAGCGTGGACGAGGAAAACACAGCAAGACCCACATGTGACACTTTAGCTGTGAACTCTTTCCGCCAACATGTCTGGGGACCACCTGTCAGCCCTAAATCCCCTTCCCCTGTTATCCCTTTGGTCTGTCCTTTGGACCTTAGCCCTCGCAACTAGAAACTGTATTAATAGATGTTCTTTCTAAACAAAGAGTTTTAAGCTTCAGAAACTCTAACCTAATGCAACACTTGATAATTTTTAAGTACAGACGCCACCCCTGCCCCACCTCCTCCAAAGAATTACAATTACTTTCACACAGGGACAAAGTCACCAGTATCCACTAACACAGCATCCAACGGAATTGTCAACGGCAGTCTGCAGGACTTGCTGGTGTTTAACCAAGCTACTTCTAAAAGCCATAGCCCTGATCCCATTTGTTTTGCACATTTTTGTTTTGTTTTGTACATTTTTTATTGGAAAAATGAAATGTATTTTAAACCTTGGCAGGAATCTATCGCAGAATGAAAGAATTTGACTGATTCTTACAAGTCAAGAAGTAAATAAAAGGCAAAGATCCATCATCACTCCTAGAACTACATCTAACAACTGATCTTTGTGCATTCTGTTTATGTCAAAATAAATAAACTTATTCATACATTAGTCTGATGTAATGTTTGGACAGGCTTCTTTTATGGGAAACACTGCATTTTTGGAGCTGATTTATACACACCCACAAAAGGAAACTATTTTATGACCAGCTTGTTTCCAAGTCAGATGTTTTGGTTTCCTGCTCTACTTCCATGAGTTCTTATGAATTTGCTTAGGAGTCTGCTTCTAGGTGACAAGTGGGGGAGGAAGTCCAATTAAAACCATAGTGGAACACTTCCTGATACTCTCCTCTTCCTAAAAATAGGATGTAGGCTGGTGGATCTTGCCCAAAATGACAGCATTAAGACTTCTTTATGTTTTCAGTGTCCGCCCCCGCACATTTTAAATGAGTAACTGTAAATTTTCTACAGCACTTCCTCAAAGACAAAAAGTACAATGTGAAAAATGCCCTTCTGTGTGGAGTGAAGTCAAAGATAAAAAGACTAGTTCTGGTTGTGGTTGTGATTCTGAAGGCACAATAAAAGTTCTGACATTTCAATTGAGACTGTTTATTCCTACAGATAATTCATAATTCCTTTCTTAATTCCAAATAACAAACCTCTTTTAGCACAGAACACCACAAAAAGCAAACTTCATTGCTTAAAAAAAACCTCAGGAAAACAAACAAAAACACATTCTGGATAACTTACTGATGCAGGTATTATATTTTTAAAGGAATATTTTGAGGAAAAGATCTTTTTATATCTAATAAGAGACACTCTGACAGTGTAACAAGGGCTATAAACCACTTACACAGTATTTGGTCATTTCCAAAATAATCGAAATGGGAGCTTTAGAAGACATGATGGGATTATTTTCCACATTTCTTCCTTAACCTCTAATTTTTATTTACTAAAAGATATCCCTGTTTTCCCCACATAATTTACATTCACTTATTTCATTTTTGATTACTTCTTCTATCAGAACCATAATCTCTTTTTTACATTAAGAATTAAATCCTACCTTACACCTGTCAGAATGGCTATCATCAAAAAGAACACAGATAACACATGTTGGTGAGGATGTGGAGAAAGGAGACCCATGCACACTGCTGGTGGGAACGTAAACTGATGCAGTCACTGTAGAAAACTAAAGCAGAGCTAAAAGGAGAGCTATCATATGACAGCAATCTACTCTGAGGTATACATCCAAAAAAACCCAAAAACACTAACTTGAAAAGATATGTGCACTCCAATGCTCAGAGCAGTATTATTTAGTTGCCAAGATACAGAAGCAATCTTAAGTGTTCATCGACAGATGAATGGATAAAGATGTGGTGTATACATACATGATGGACACTCAATCATTAAAAAAGAATGAAATTTTACCATTTGCAACAATGTGGATGGACTTGGAGGGTATTATGCTAACTGAAATAAGTCAGAAAAAGACAGATACAGTACAATACCACTTTTATGTGGAATCTAAAAAATACAACAAATTAGTGAATATAATAAGAAAAGAAATAGAGTCCCAGAGAAAGAGGACAAACTAGTACTTACCAGTGTGGAGAGAGAAGTAGAGAGGGGCAATATAGGGTAGGGGATTTAGAGCTAGAAACTACTATGTATAAAATTAGCTAAAAGTATATACTGTACAACAAGGAATATAGCCACTATTCTATGACTATACATGGAGTATAACCTTTAAAATTGTGAATCCCTATAC